TCCCCCCACCTGTCTGTCTCCTGCTCTATCCTGGCTTGTCCCCCCGCCTGTCTGTCTCCTGCTCTATCCTGGCTTGTCCCCCCACCTGTCTGTCTCCTGCTCTGCCCTGTGTTCTGGCCCTTTCCCTCCGGAGCTGATAAAAACGGCGTGCACGCTGGAATTAGCTCTCTACCTGCGTGCCACCTTTGTGTCCCGGGCCCGTGCTGTGCCATGGTCCCGTCCCCCCCTTTTCAGACTGTGGCAGTACAAGACCAGGGGGTCACTATTCGGAAGTGGTAACTACTCTGACTACACTGTTAAAAGTAAGGCTTCTGTTAAAACACTTCTAGCTTAAATTTCAAATAAATAAGGGGTTGGACTGCTGGGCTTAGGATACATGAAACTGATGCTTTATTTATTTCAAAAGTAATTAAATAATAAGGGGTGTGTACTTCTGTGGTGGTTTGAAAAACCTTTTCTCTGAGGCAGTAATGGTTTGCCCCACTGATAATCCAATCAATAGTCCACGTGCGCCCTACGGGAATTACACACCCACAGAAACGGAAGAGAAGGGGGTGAAGATAGTTTAGAAGGTAGGTAGCCATGATCTGAGCCACGAGGAGGCAGGGGGGCAGTGAGCCCCTCTGGGGGCCAAGGGCCCCCAGCCAAGGCAGAGGAGACCCAGTATAGTGTCAAAGCTGGACCAGGTCCCGTAATCAAGAGCTGGAAGAGTTCCCTTTCTGTCAGCAGCAGCAGAAGACACTGAAAGCAGCAGTGGAGCAGTCCTGAACAGAGACAACAGTGGCTGAAAGCCAAAAGGCAGCCAGGAGCAGCGAGATAACGTGAAGCTGAAAGACGCAGAGATGTTCCTGCAGGAGGGAGAGCTGGCAACAAAGCAGAGGAAAACTCAACAGAGCTGGTTTGGGGTAAGACTGTATTATTTTCCCAAAAAACAGAGACTCTCTGAAGAGGAGGGGTGGACTTCCAAACCCTTAGGGAGTCCCAAAATGCAGCAGCAGCTGGAGAGAGGGAGAAAGGAGCTGAAAACCCGGAGTTGTCCTGAGAGTTGAGCCAGGACAGAATGCAGAGGAGGTGGCCGTGCCCTCTGCTGCTGTTGCTGCTGCTTCTATCATGCTGGAGAGCTGAGACAGAGCAAAAGAGCATTGGTAAGACTGAACTGAAAGCTGCCTTCAATGTTCTAACCTAAGAGGAGTGAGGATCTACAAGGAAATCCCCCGAAGGCTCGGGCTTGGGGTTGAAATTTCCACAAAGTAAGAACAAAAATCCTGACTGCTATACTTGAATTTACTGCCTCAGGAAAATGAAGGACACTAACCAGTGCCACAAAAAAAACTGAAATGAAGGAACTGTGGCCTGAGAAGTGACAGAAAGACTTTTTTCTTCTTGGACTTTTATTGAAGAAGAGGAGAAATTTAATTTAATGTAAATATATATGTGGGTGTAAATAAACCTTTGTAAATATTTTCCCCTTCCCCCAATAATGAATGGCTGTGTTTTGTCTGAAAACTCTCCACATGGGGTGAAAAAGATATCAAGTCCATACCATCACTAAACCCTCTCACAGGGGCACACTGTGGGAGGGGAGGCTTGAACTTAAAAATTAGATTCTTGGGAGTTTCAAACCACCACAACTTCATTTAGACAGTGGCTCAAGGAGCCCAGAAAGGCACTCAGCCCTAGTCTTTGGATACGGGTTGTGATTAAACGAATTTGTTTTGCTGTAGAAATCTATTGCTACAGAAGCATTTGTCTGTAAATATTTATGGCTTGCTCTGTAGAAGCATGTTGAAATTTAGGTTTATAAAAATACAGTAGCATTCTAAAAAGTGCAGTAACAGGCTTATAAGGTGTTAGCTCTGAGTTAGTCATGGCAAAGCAGTAGAACTTCTAAAATCGGTCTAACTCCTTATGTTTGTAAAAATAGAAAAAAAACCCGTAAAGACTTATTTCTTTTGTCTTTTTTTTTTTAAATTTTCCAAGGTCAGTTTCACTGCAATGAATATGATGATTTGAGGGCAAGATGGTTGGAAGAGACCATAGAATCCTTCATCCCACGACCTTTGATTAACTCCATAATGGTCTCCAAACTGGATGGCAGACACATTGGAGATCTTAAGCCTGAATTATATGACAAGGTAACGTTATTATTAGCAAATTGTATTTCTCCATTCTGATTCTTTTTCTTCCTACTGTCTTTTTAATTTTTTTTTCTGACCCCCACAAAAATATCTGACCTATCAAGGGGAACAAATCATGTACAGGATATGCAGAACCACAGAAAACATTTTATGAATATGAAGCCTGTTGTGCATTTTTTCATGTGTTAGGTGATGTTATCCATTCAGCCTTGGTAGTGAATTCTGAAGACCTTGTAGCTGTATTAGTTTGCATGATGTGTAATTAGGAAGGGCAAGGGAACAAGTGAGAGCTGCTTAGGTAGAGTTTACTTTTGGAGTACTTATTTCTTACTTCCTCACCTGATAACTCAATTAAAAACATCTCAAAATAGCAGTTGGATCATTTCACTCCTGAAAATGGAAAATAAAAAGGGTGTTTATAAGTATTTGCAGAAGTAAGTTGAATAGATTTTTAGCACATGGTGTTCAGAAAGTGAGTATCTTTATTATGAATGATCTTATTTGCTTTTATTGTGTAGGTACTGGTTGATACTCCTTGTTCAAATGATAGAAGTTGGCTTTTCTCTTCTGATATTCATCAAGCTACACTCAGGGTGATCCAAAGGAAGGAATTATCATGTTTACAATTCCAGCTTCTGAGGTGAGAAATAAAAAAGAAAGCTATTCAAGTAGTTTTTTATAATGAATAAAAATTACCAGGAGGGACACAAGATTTTTCATTGTTTAATGAAGAAAACCATGATTCACCATGTGAAAATTAAGTGAAGAATATGTAGTTGTGCTGCTTTTTAGAATATACAGTGAATCTGGGTTAATATGAGTGTGGAAATCTGGGGGGGGTGAGATCAGCAGTGAGCCCCAAGTCCTCTACTACCCTACTGATGTCATGGCCGGGCTTTGTGAACGAAGATTTGGGAAGGGCTCTACCCACATTTGTTACAAACACGCTGGTGGCTAAAAAGGCCAATACGAGATAGACCCGTC